CACATGTAACCCCTTTCAGCCCAGCCACAACTGCAAACGCCAAACGGTGACCCAGGATTCCATAAAATATAAGCTTTGTCACGGTCACTCTCATCTGCGATTTTTGCAGATTTACCAATGATTACAACATCAGAATCTGGAATGCTCAATGCTTTGCGGAAAGAAGTCAAACCGCTCACCCATTCCTCTTTCCAGTACCTCGCGAAACTTTCTTTTCCAGAATATTCATCAAGCCAGAAATAGGAGTGTACTTTTGTGACTAACTTATGAACTAACCAATCAACACGGAGATATACATCGGGGGGACCCTCTCATTCAACAGCCTGAACTTTAACTGATAGTGGTAAAACTCCATAGCTGAACAAATCTCTTGGCTTGCCAAGGGAAGAGATTGTAAACAGTTGTCCAAGCCCCTGTTGTAGATTGGAGGGCAAAAGTCTGTTAGGTTGTTAACATCAGTTGATTGATGAGTTAGTGAGAGCTTTATCGTGAATTATACCAAGATTTTGATCTCAAGTCTCAACAAGTCTTTCTCAAGAGGAACTTGGCAATTATGATCCATGATCCATTTATGTAGAGACCAAGAAGGAAGAGAAAAAAACAAAAAAGAGAGATAGAAACTGACCTATTCTAGGGCACCATACAGCTCAAAAGTATTCCACAAAGTCCGAGCTATCAACAAAATCTTCCAGAAAATCCTCAAACAATGAGAGTTTTCCTTGCCTTCTGCAAATTTTATCAATGGCCTGTCCAAGTTGCCTTGAGATCTTGACACGGACCTCTGTTTCTGCACATCTCTTGATTATGTTCTTCTGCCATGCGTGACGAACACGCCAAAACGACAAGAGGACTGGGCACTGAAATACATCCCTGTGGACATTATAAAGAGTATACTTAGGCTCGGTTTAGCATATATGGTAACAAATGGTTACTGGTGTGGAAATTGTGCGGAATTTTTAAAACTGTATAAATCTAGAGCCGAAGAACAATGCAGATCAACATAAATCTACTGTGGAACTGTAAGAATTCAACTTTTTCAATGTTGGCATGCTGCTTTTAGACAGACCAACAAGAAGCCTTCGACCATTATTCTAATCCTGGTAGTACTTTAAATTCCAAACTTGAACTGAATACTGCTCCAATTTCAGAAATCACCCACCCAGCTCAATTCATTATGTTCAGTACTTGGTTGCCGAAACTGAAGTTAAGTCCCTAAAATAGACAAAGGTGAGATTTTCCTAAGTATCCTGCTGTAATAAATCTGTCAATTTGCAGGGAAGGAGAACACAAAGGTATGTACTTTTGAAGTAACCAACCTGATTGTAACAGCATCAGCGAAAGGGTCATCAACAATGAAACCAGCTAATTTCCAAGAGGGATCTTTATCGTGGACTCAGTTGTAGAGAGCTCTCATCCATCTATATGTATCTCCGCTGGAATATCTTGGTGCAATTATCCAAGCTACTGGAATAGCTTTATTCTCCGAGTTGAAGACAGCCAAACTATGTACAGGATACTGAAAACAAATGGAATCCATTGACCTGAGATCGTCCTGATAACACTAAAACAAAACTTAACAACTATATTGCAACAGCCAAAAATCAACCGGCCTTCAGTTTATTTGTCCCAAACCTTGAATCGGAAGCCAAAAGGCTGCAATTGCCAAACCGGATCATCTGCTGCAATTGCCACTCGGTTTGGATACCCAAAGTAAAAGGGTCTGAGTCAGAGAACCCCTCGAAGAAAAACACCTGACTCTGATGACATTCGACCCACATGCTGATGCTGCTGTCATCATCCTCGCCGAGCTCATAAGTAGAACGTCGAATGCTTCTCTCAAGTCTCCGAACATATCTATGAGTTAACAAATCATCTCGATTACTTGGACCCCCTTGTTTTTCCACAGATTCATTATGCCTTTGCATTATGGTCTCCACAGAGACACCCACATAAAGCAAAGACAATACACGTAACCTAAGATCTTCTGAGATGTTTGGCGCAAATATTGCTCTTGTTCCAGCAGCCTTTTTGTCTTGTGGTCCATGGCAAGGCAGACCTTTTTCATCTACATGCTTGTCATTATTATAAATTATCAAAGCCACAGTTGGTTCTGCAATTAAGCGTTTCACAATGAAGTGACACCTGCACCCTCTTTTGGAATTGGGCCGGCCAACATTCTTCTTCTTTGGGACATATGTGCTCCTACTCGGCCGAGCAGCTCCACCTTTCCTATTATCATCTGGTCCAAAAGAACACCAATACCTGCTTACACAACGGGATTTATTTAAAATCATCGGTTTCATTCATGAAACAGATTACAAGAAGGCGTAAAAAAACAACTCAGTTTTGAATGAGGAGACATTTTCGAATCAGAAGAATGATTCTCAACAAAGAAAGAAGCATGGAGGCTAGCACAACCTATGAAGATTGACGAACAAATGTCAAATGAAAAATTTAGACAAATCTGGATGATAATAACCTGCAACTTACAGAATATATTCCAAGATTCCATCAACCTTAGGCTTGTAATTCTTATCTATGGCTTTACGGCGTCTTGTTTCAACATGGAAACTCGTAGGGCAATCTTTATTTGAAGATTCACCTTTTACCAAATCGTCCACTCGGGCATACGGGATGAGGGCAACTCTATCAATGGTATCCCGGTAACCTTCTACCTTGGACCAAACAAGATCAGTGGCAGAAAATTCCAACGATGTTGGGTTTTGAACAGGCAGAGAGAAAATCTGATCCCATCTAGCCTTCTGCATTCACCATGTGATAAACCCATGAACAACAGACACGAAATAAGAAATTTCCCTAAGACGTTAAATGAAAACTTACACAGAGACTTGCCCACAAAAAGAGATTGATTGCAACTGAGGGAAACACTAGAAATGGACTAATTCAGTGATAGACCCGAGTTCAGGACCCAACACTCGTTGCTTCCACAAACAATTTCATCACCCAACCTATCTAATTGGAACATGGGTTTCTGTAATTTCATCACCAAAACAAGTAAATTACCTTTAACTTCCATCAAACGAACAAAGACCCACCAAAATGGAGCTTGAGGCGGTTGAAAGCAAGAGGAGGAAAGAAAGAAGACGGCGAAGAAGGGGAAGAGAGAGAGATAAATTCACACGTGGGGAAAACCGACGTCCGACTGCACGATGCGGCGGCGGAAGAGGCGAAAATCCCAGTGACGGCGGCGGAGACTCACCGTACGGATTCTGATGTTTTTCCTCGCTTCTTTTAAAATTTCTTCATGATTTACATTTTAGTCCTTCCATATATTATTATTATCACGATCACACCTTAAACATTTAATATAAAAAATAGGCCCCTTGAAACTTCCCATTCTTCTTCTTCGCTCTATCTTATGGTTAATCACTGGGAATAAGTACTAAGTAATATTCATATTTTATCATAAAATACACAAGAATTAAATAAGTAGATCAAAACAAGCATCGATTTTAATCAATGATATTCCTTTTTTTTTTACCTAACCGACACATTTTTTTCTTCCAATCGTTACAGTGGAATGGACCCGATGACATGTATCACGACGCAGACGTCTCTCTTTCCTCTGCATAAACTGTGTGCCGTTTTATAGTTAGAGTCATGCACATTACTCCGTTTCTCCCCCCTTACCCACCGACGTTACGTAGACAACGATGTTCTTATAACACGTTTCGAAGGTTAGGAAAACCGAAATAATCAAATACACTTTTGGACCAACTGCTCAAAAATTTTAATATTATATTATTATGATTCATTAATCTATATATTGTATATATCATCGAATGGTCATTTTTTTTATTCGGTCTTCAAGATGTTTCCGTTAGATTATGCATTGAAATTAACACATAAACTAAATAACTCGTAATTCTTAAAATTGAACTCAGTTGGAATATAAAAGTAATCCAAAAAATTGAATGATAATAAGTTTTTTTAAAAATGAGTTTGATTATTAATCAAAACCAAAACGGGAATAGAAAATTAAACCAAACATAAAACTTATATAAATCCAAAAATAATGGAACCCAATTATTTCCCAAATAGTATAACAAACTAAAGATTGCACCTGATATTTAATTAGCTTAGTACTTTATAATATTATTTTTTATAACAACAATCATATTTAAAAACTCAAATCAATCATAATTAGTGATAACATGAACTTTATATTAATTGTGTTTATATAGTATGGTTTGTATTCATGTTAAATATGTATATATGTACATAGTACTCTAACACCACTAACTAAAAAAATTGGCACAGTATATAATAGATTTAACAATGCATTAATTAATTACGAATACAATTATAAAATCTTACATATGATTATAAAATTTTCGGATTAGCATATGATATACAACAAAATAAATAATACTTTGAAAACAAAACGTTAATTACACCAAATCAAGCAAAAACCAAAATCAGTTCACATACCTTCTTACTGATAACTTGTCGCCCTCTCATGCAGACAGAATAACTTTCCGGTTGTCCCCGGCAACTACCTAATCATACATCTATGATCTATTGATCTATATGTATGTATGAATGCATGCATGCATGTATGTATGTTTTCATGCGTGTAAATATATATAATCACGTTAAAAAAAAAACCTTATATGTTTTTCTTTTGCCTTCCTATATTTTCATGGGAGTGCCGTCACGAAATCGAATCCATATATATCGATCTAGATGTAAACTAAAAACAAAGGAAAAAGAAAACCCTAAATGCTATATATCTTCGGGTTTCATGTATTTTCATCATATTCCTATTCCGGATTCAAGTTCAACCGATCTAGACCAAAAAATCAAACCCTAATTAATTAGCGAAAAAGTTCGAGTCTATATCTTCTGGATCCGGCAATTCATTCAAATCCGGTTTCCCGTCGTTTGCCTGATCGGCGGGCTGCTCAGGTTCTTATCATGTTCAATTGGTAAATTTCAATCTTGCTGCTTGAATGTTTTTTAAAAGAGTAAGGACAAAAAAACAGAGAAATACTAGTGACTATTACCTGAGAATATCGACAAAGCTGTGCTGCAGTTCCTTTAACGTCTCTTCCGCCAAATTTACATGGATTAGCAACTCGGGCAATTTTACTGTGAAAGCCATATCAAGGGTTAAATTTGTATCGAAAGATAGTTCATCACCTAGGGAGCTAAGTATCCCTGGTATGTAGTTATTTTTTCTGCTAGATTTTTCATTTTCAGCTTCCCTACCAAGTAAACAATCTTCGTTTTTTGGGAAGAACTATAAACCAAAGACAAGGAAAATGTCATTACAGAGCTTTGAGAAATAGGAGGAAATAAAGCAAGTCATGAAACCGACTTGATTTTCACACTAAGAGTCAAGACAACTGACCTGCTAAGAAATGGCAAAAATAAGCTATGACATGATAAGCACAAATAGAGTAACTCTAACAGAAAAATGAAGAAGGATGACCTTAGCGACGGCGGTCGAGTAAGAGCCTAGCCATAGACGAGACCTTTTGTTTGGCTCACGAATCTCCGCCACCCACTTCCCCCACTTCCTCCTCCTTACTCCTCTGTACGACGCCGTTTCACCACCTTCTCTCCGGCGGCCACTTCGTCGGTTAGACGACGTCGTAGAAGAGCATATCATCCCATCTTCTTCCATATGGATCGAGAGATTATAATGAAGGGTTTTGTGTGTATATATTTATATATATATATGGAAATGAGATTTTTGTTTAAAAAAAAAGAAAATTCAAAGGGTGCCACGTAGAGATAAACCCAAGGTTGGCCGACAAATTATAAAGCCGACAGGTTCCGTATTTGATTTTCTTATCTCTTTAGTAGATACGTCAAGTGTTGGTGTTTTGGTCATTGTTCTGATTAATTAATTGCCAAGAAAATTATGTTCCGTTGGATCGTGCTTGTACCTTTCCATACTCACGCCACTAGTGAAATATGTATTATTAGTCAGCTAGTCTATGCGTGCATGCTTGCATGTGTATAACTGGCAATGTATGCATGAATGGATAAATGAAAAAATACCGGAGAGATTTCGTGAAATGAAGAAAGGGGGATCGAACGGAATGGTGGAATGGGACAATCCAAGAGGCCGTAGCATAGTGGTGTAACTGACGAAAAGTGGTGGATTGCCTTGTTCCAGATCTCATGTTCGAACCGCGGGATGGTGGAATGGGCAATCCATGTGCACAATTATCTGATAATTGTGGTATACAGGTTACTCCCAGGCCGTGGTGTCATTCGTCTGGTCCCCTAGGCTGCGAGGCGTTGCCGAATCCGGTCCGAAGAAAAAGGTGAGTTCCCAAACGTTAACAAAAAAAAAAAAAAAACTAAATCACACCATGCGCGTGTACACATTCCATGCGCCATTGACATTACTCCCCCTTTTTCTTTTGTATAATAGTATTTGATTTGGAGGCAACGTAGCTTCATGTAAGGGTGATCAAAATTAACTTAGGTATCGACTTATTCAAAATTTTAATTTATATTTTTTTAATTAAAAAATCGAATATCAATTACTACAAATTATAAAATTATCTTTTGATATTTTCTAAGTCCTTAAAACATTCTGTACCCCAAATTTTCAAATTGTTCACCCCTACATTTACGCAATGGGATAAATTTCATATATGAATGACCTACACATACGAACAATGAATTAAATTCCCTATAACTACAGAGAAAACACAATGGTAAGATCAATGTCTGTATGAATTTCTCATAAATTAAGGAAATAAAAAAAGCAACCAAAAAACTACATTCCACGTCAAAACCATCAAACAGAGATTGAGTTATGAGTTTCCAGGACCCACAAGATCATCATCACCAGACAACATGGTATACTATATATAATATATATAAATATGTTCAACACTTGAAGCCTTGAAGGATGAAGATATGTTATGATAAGGACCTGAACCCTGAATCTCTTAAAGTTCAAATCACAAACCCAAACCATCATTTGGCTAATCCGATTCCGAAACCTATTTCTCTTCTGCACATGTTGTCCTAGGTCATATAATGCCTTTCGTATCGATTTGGGGGGGGGGGGGGGGGACAA